CGGTGATATCCTCCTTACATCAAGTCAGGGAAGAATCTGAATTGTGTTCCTCCTTTCCTTTTAAGGCAAATCTTCAAATACTTTCGATTCCTGGAGCCACTACCTTCAGCTCAGCTTCAAGTAAGGAAAAATACATCATCACTCACAGAAGGTCACTCCCACTTTGGCATTAGTTCCATTAGGATGAAACGACGACGAGGTGAGTTCGAGGACATCCCACACCTTGTCCTCTGTCACCACGCCCCTCACTGGGAGGAAGTCCTGTACTTTGTAACCCTTTGAGGTCCACCTGATGGGGAAGAGACCCAGATAGTTCCTCTTAGCATCTCTTCCTTGTCCAGGGAGACAAAGTCACTGGGAGAGTGGCCACCTCTTCCAGCAGCCCCACCTCAGGAGCCTCCTGCCTGGCTGCAGGCGCCCAGCCCAGTGCCCAGGGACATGGAGGTTCTGGCTGAGGGATGATGCTTCTGCACCCCTACATGTCCCATGGGCACCCCACACTTGTGGGTCCACCTGTGTACCTGCAGGAACCCCCTCCAACCTGATTGCCCTGCCCACACCCAAGGCCCTGCTTACCCCTGGGCTGGCGTGAAGGTGCTGGTGACTTAACACCTGCACCCCATGTACAGCAGGATTGGGGATATGGACACTGGGATTGGGGGGATACAGAGACCAGGACTGAGGGGATGCAGGCACCAGGATTGAGGGATGCAGACACAAGGATTGGAGGGATACAGACATCAGGATTGAGGGTATAGAGACGCAAGTATTGGGGGAACAGAGATATCAGGATTGGGGGGCTGCAGACTCCAGGACTGAGGACATGTGAAGGACCAGGTCTTTCCTCACACGAACATGAAATGCCCTTTAGGTCAGCAGTCATAACTGGCTTAAAGACGGCTGCTCCATGTGGCACTGAACCCTCTCCTGGCTGCCTCCTCTGCCAGAAAACAATAACCCGGTCGCCCTGAGGGGGCAGCTGCTGCTGGAGAGGAGCAGCCGGAAAAACAGCCACCAGTCTGCACGGGTGGGAC